TCTAGAGGCTGAGGCAGGAGGATCTTGCGAGTTCAAAACCAGCCTGGGCTACAAAGTGAGCTCAAGGCCAGTCTGAAATGCAAAGTGAGACCTTGTCTCAAAAAGACAAAAATAAAATAAGGTTGAGACATTTAAAAAAATTTTTTTTTTTTTTTTTTTGTCTTTTTCGTTTTTACCGGTACCAGGGATCAAACTCACAACTGCCTGCTTGCAAGGCAGGCACTTATGCCGCTGAGCTAAATCCCCAGCCCCTAAGCCATTTAAAATTCTTAGACATCAAAAACAGCAGACTATCAGCAATTTTATTTAACTCAACTTCATTTACCTTTAAGCTATTCTTGATTATTTCACAGTCTTTTGCAGGCAAAAATCAAGATGCCTACCACAGGTCTCAGCAACAACAACAACAACAAAAAAATGAATGAATTGGTATTAGAAAAGGTCTTTATGAGGCGGAAACAAAACTGTCCTCAGTTTATAGATCTGCTCTCATAACTACCACAGTTCTACTTCCAGACTTCTGCTGACTACAGGTTTAAATTATTAAACCCAAAGACTAAGAGAGAAGCAAAAAAAAAAAGTCCCTCATTTCCACTTCTGACCTCTTCATTCATTCCTCATTAGTCTTCCCTACCAAACAAATGTTGTTTCTGTTTGGACTGTAGCAAGACCTTAAGCTTGGGGATTTAGCTCAGCAGCATAAGCGCCTGCCTTGCAAGTATGTGGTCATGAGTTCAATCCCCGGTACTGATAAAAAAAAAAGAAGAAAAAAAAATTCATTAAAAAAAAAAAAAAAGACCTTAAGCTCTACCAATTTATATTTTCTCCACAGAATGGAGCTTATGAAGATGAACAAATACAAAAACAGTAGTCTTGAGTATGTGTGCCTCTTCTCCAGCTTCTCATCCTCTGGTGGGTCATCCTGTAAACTTTAGGATATATTCTTTTGGTCACTCTTCAACTATATTCTCCAGTTCTGCTCAATACAATTTAAAGTTTATTTACAACTGTCTAGCTGCTGTGTTTTATTTCTCAATATGTTCTAGACTCATAGCAGAAGTACTACAATCAATGATCAACAAGCATATATAACTAGGCATGTTTAACCAAAGATAATACTTTAATAAATACAATGTGAATACACAAAAAATGAAGTCATAAAACACCTATTCTTAATATAGTTCATAAATACATCATAAAATTTACTACTATGGAGACATGAGAAAAGATTTATAACAATATTAAATAAAAATTTAAAAGCAGAAATATGATATACTCAATGACTGCAAGTGAAAACGGTTTGCATATGCAAAATGCAACACAGTATGCCAAAGAAACAAAACTGTGATAAAGAAATGAGAATATGGCAGATTTTTAATTTAAAGAAATCTTAATGGTATTGTAAGATTTTTCAGTGTTTATGTATGTCTCAGGACAAAACTTGAAAATCTTAAAATACTTAAACACATCTTTCATTGCTATTATAATGCTGTTTATGTAACAAATTTTGTTTAAATAAACAAACTGCTCAGAGTATCCTATCCTTCTGTGCATATGGGAACTCTTTCTTCCAGGAACTCTTCTATTTTATTTTCAGTTAATGTGAGGCAACAGCTATTTTATTCTATTCTAGTGGTCTAGTCTAGATTCTTTTCTTTTCTTTTTCTGTTACTGGAGATTGAACCCAAGACTGCGCACTTGTAAAGCAGGCACTTATGCCACTGAGCTAAACCTCCAGCCCCTATATTCTTTTCTTTCAGTTTTTTTTTTTTTGTGTTGGTGACTGAAGAGTTAATCCAGATCAGAAATATTTTACTAGAGAGAAGGCTGAGGTTTTTTTGCCTCTTTATGGGGGAAAGGGCTAGAGGTTGAGCCCAAGGCCACACATGCATTCTACTAATGAGCTACACCTCCAGCCCTTCAGCCATTCTTGCACTAAAGTGATTTATTCAGGTAAGCTGAGTCTCTAAGAGCAGGTATCTTGCTGGCACCACACTAAAAAGTAAGCAGCTTTAAAAGTTCTCTCATTAGAAACCTCTGAATAGCAATGTCCTCTCTCTTTCTCCAAACTGCTAGCAACACTTTTAGACTCACTGTCCACTGTCCCTCACATGTTTCTCAAACACTGCTCCCATTTACCTGGTAACCTTCTCTGCATTCCATCTACTACCCCCACCCTGCCTCACTTCCAGAAAAAAATAGGTATGTCAATAATGATTGCCATAAATTTTCTTGGACTAAGCCTCTTTTAATATATCCAGTATTTTAAGAATTCACCTTTCAGTAAATACGAATTATAGAAAATAACCGCTGTTCAAGCAGCTCTAGTTGAAGAAAAACAGAGTAGAACTAAGCATAGGCCTTTGCTGAAATAATTCAAATGTGAAAAAGAAAAAAAAAAAAACTTTTGAGCCGGGCGTAGTGGCTCATGCCTGTAATCCCAGCCCTGGGGAGGCTGAGGTGGGAGGATTGTTGCAAGTTCAAGACCAGCCTGGGCTACAAAGTGAGCTCAAGGCCAGCCTGAACTGCATAGCAAGACCCCATCTCTAAAAAGACCAAAAAAAAAAATTGGGGGGGGGGGGGTTGATAAACTCACTTTGTAGTCTAGGTTAGCCATGAACTCATTATGTTGTCCATGCCTCGAATTTGTGGCAATCCTTCTGCCTCAGCCTCCCCAGTGCTGGAATTACAGGTGTGCATAAAGAAATGAGAATACAGCAGATTTTTAACTAAAGAAACCTTAATGCTTAATACCTGGCTTTTAATTTCTATAACTATTTCTAAGTTGTTTTTTTATCTCTAGGGATATTCATAGAAAAACCTTATAACTTAGGAATACTATTTTGAGATAGTTTCTTTTCTTTCTTTCTTTCACATCTTTGCTTATCTAATTCCACCTCCTCTATAAGGCTCCAGACAAATTTTACCCTCTTTATGAAATCTTAGTAACAGTAAAAATTTATTTACTGTTGGCAGACATTTACATATGGCAGACACATCAGAGTTACCTTTAGGATATGTCAACTTATTTAATTCTCACAATATCCCTATGAGTGTTACTATTTATCCCCATTATTTTCCATTCAGTTTGTTGTTTGTTTGTTTGTTTGTTTGTCTGAGACAAGTCTTGCTGTGCAGTTTAGGCTTGTCTTAAACTCACTAGATAGTCCAGGCTGGCCTTGAGCTAAAGCAATCCTCCTGGTTTAGCCTTCCAAGTGCTGGGATTGCAGGTTTGCAACACCGTGCCCAGCCTCCTCCATTATTTTCTCAAGGAAACACAAGATCAGAATTCTAAGTAATTCTGCTCAGGTTATATAGCCAGTAATTTGCAAATCCAATTTTTCTCAAGTAATCTGGCTAGAATCTATGCTCTTCTTAATCACTTCTGTATGATTCTTCCTTCAAATGATAAAAATTCTACAGAAGGAAAACTGGGCATAAATACACCCTCTGTCATAGCTAAAAAGTATGAAGTCACTAGCTATGACTGCAAGATTAACACCTTAAGGGATAGCCCATGCCATCAACATCAGATTTAGTATTACTAAAATTAGGAAACTGACTAAATATATTTAGTTGCTTCTTAATGCATCTCTTCCTAGTGAGTCACACCTATAAAACTGACAGACCAACCTATTACCATGTCCTAAAAGAGAATTAATACTTAAAATCAAATGACATTACTTCAGCATATGCACAAAAGCTGATAATCAGCAATGAGGAGAAACGTTGAAATCTGAAAGTCTGTCAGGCCTGTGAAGCTGAACAAAATTTAAATAACTGTTTTTCAGTTCATCAAAATGAGAATATAAAAACGGAGGTTCAAAGACATAATCTATCTGGAATTACACTCTAATCAATCCTTATAGAAATGTAGGTCAGAGTTAGCAAAACAACTTAAAACTAGATATTAAGAAATGCCCATGGACGATATGCAAAAGAAAACACCTTTCATGAAACAAGACTTTTAAGAATTTTATGGGCTGATTAAATATCACTTTTCAAATGTACTGCTAATACAGATCCAATTTACACACAAAATAAAGACCAAATTTTTGGCTAGCTCTTTAGGCACTTCAGCTACCTCTTGAAAAGATTAATGTGATCTTGAATCACAAAGGAATTTTGATTATGTGATTTAACTTGTTTTCTTTTAATACCTATCAGTTTTAGTATCTATCTATTTTGATTATGTGATTTAACTTGTTTTCTTTTAGTATCTATCAGTTTTAGTATCTACAGTATCTATCTATCACCCAGCAAACTGTGTGACAATACAGTGCATACATACATGAACAAAAGCAAACCACTGTTTGTTGTGGGCTCAACTAGTCTATCCCTTTTAGGGTCTTGTCTCTAACGCCACTGACCTGCACACCTAAACAAATTTTTAGGTCCATGGATACAGTGAAAAAAAGAAAGTATTTTGAATTTAATACAAAAATGGTATTCAAAGATGTAGACTGTTTTTACATCAGAATTAAGATTTTTGTTATTCTCAAAATATATAGATAGCATACTGCACAAAGAAATAGAAATGAATTATGGGTCTTGTGTTGGCCAAACTACCATGCCGATGAGAGGCAAACTTGTAAAAACCAATAATGCTCAACACTAAAGACTATTTTTTTTTCCTAAAGACTTATTTTTAACAACTCATCCTGGCTTGCCATCAAAACAAAGTTTATAACACTGTTATTTCAAAAACAGCTCAAGCTTTTCATTCATACCATAAACACATTGAAGAAGCAGAAAAAGTACTAAAAATACTACCAGCTATGAAGCAGTACAATCTGAAGCTATTATTTTCTACTAATCAAACATAACATGCCAAAGTCCTAGCTTCCAGAAACGATCTTTCCAAAGGCTACTCTTGCCTACTTCTTTTTACACATTCAGTTAAACTTTGATGTTTTGCCACACTTGGAAGTGATTACCTGACATAATTCTCAAATCCCACACACTTTGTAAAAAATTCCTATAACCAAAGGAAAACTTACCTCTGCAAAATTTGTTGATGTGCTATTGTCTATCCGGCTGCCGCTACCACCTAAAAAACTAAAGAGAAAAAGGAATGGTGGTAATTCTATTCCCAGAACAAGCTCACTTCCCAGAAGCTAAAAATAGAATGGCATAATGAGAACAAATCCCAGTAAGGAAACATAACTCATTCTAACACAATACCTGCAAAGGAAATGATAGAGACTGCCGTGTAGATTAATCTATCTAAAACATAGACCACAAAATTAAGTGGATTTCATGTGAATCAAGGCTATATCAAGTAAGAGAAAGGGGTCCACCACAAAGAAGGAAGAAGGACCCTCAGTAATACAATTCACATTTGATCTAATGAAAACAGAAAAACAAACATTTATCCTCAAAGAGGCTAAAAAAACAAAACAATATTTTACTATAAAACCATCCAACCATCTTATGATCATAACATTTGAGAAAAGAAGTTATTTCTTGGGAATAATTAAATGTAGTACTATAAGGGGTCTGGTGCAGAGTTTAGCACATTAGAAAAGGATTCAAAATAAGTATTTTTTCTGATAATTTACCCTGTACAGTTCTTTGATTATCCGGCCTATCCTTTCAGCTCATCTCAGATGCTATCTCCTCCATTAAATCACTTCTGAATTCATTAACCAAGTAACTCTTCTACATTCCTTCTGTACTCTCTGCTTCTAAATTCTACCTTGTATTATAAATATCTAGAATTTCCGATTCCTTTCATGAATATAAATTCAACAGCAAAGGCTGTATTTTATTAATGACTTAAATTAAGTATGTAGAGTATATATGTGTCAGAAATTACAGAGCACCTCTGAAATACAACATCCTATATTGATAACTCAAAATAAAAGCTGAGTGAATATCACATGTATAAACCATAAAACAACAGAAAGATCCTAAGAACAGGAAAAAAAATATCAAATCCTACTTTCCCTATAAAATCTGTGAAGAGAAGAATGTGGTTAAGAAGATGGAAGGAATTACAAGAACTGCTGAGAAACACTTTAAGAAAAACATAAAAAGGCACAAACACATAAAAACACTCAGTGATGCAAAATCCACAAACTACTACAAATAGCTTTCATTTGTAGGATTACAATACCAATCCTGGCATTACACTGAGCTCACTGAAGAAACAAACACACTCTGGTTAAACTGAAAGCAAATCTTAAGCCATTCTTTTTTTTTTTTTTTTTCCAAATCCATTTCATTTTAAAGAGGAAAAAAAAAGCCATTCTTCATGGAATCACTCATAGGCCTTATTAGTTGATTAGAAACCATGTAACATTTGTATTTGTTTCAGAAGTTAAAAATGTTTTTATAAAAATCATTTCAATTGCCTAGCAACTTTAAAAGTACTTAAGCATCTATGCTAAATAACTAACTGAACTGCCAGACATCATAAACTAAATTGCAAGGCTGTATATCCACTTTATTGCCCAAGCCTGATAGGTTTCCAAGGCTCTCCTTTCCTGTTTACCACATGGTTTCAAGGAATTCAAGTATCAGTATTCAAACCATCAACTCTTATCTTTTAGGGTTCCGGTCTTTCAACATTTCCTTTGCTTAAAAATTTCTTTACATTTTAAAGTGACAGAGCTAGTTATAAAATAATAAAAATAATCTTATGTTCTGAGAAACTTTACAAAGCTTAAATTTTACAAAATGCCTTCTTCTATATACATTTAGTAGCAGATGGGTCACAAGACCTCAAATTTACATGCAAGGACTTTCTCTTATTTTTCCCATCTACTACTAACCATTACAAGTGCTAAGTAATCAAATTAGCAAATACAAATTTTATAAACAGAAATATCATGCTACCTCTAAGACACTGATTTAAAAAAAAACACTGATCTTTTTCAAAACACACTATGTTTACATTCAAATAGTTGCTATTCAGAGTCCCTGTACAGGACAATCTTTGAACTATTAGGACACAAATAGAAGAATTAGGTCAAGTGAGAACAAGATTATAGAATTCACAGCCATGTGCCTCAAAAATTTTCATTTTGTAGCTAACTATCATACTTACTTACTTTGTGTTTTACTTTGTTTTTAAGACATGGTCTCACTATGTAGATAGCTGGCCTTAAACTCATTATGTAGCACAGGCTGACACTGACTCACAATCCTCCTGCCTCAGCTTCCCAAATGCTGGGATGACAGGCATCTGCCAGCACACCTGGATGTAACTGTATTTTGTTTAAAAAAAAAAAAAAAAGGTACTATCTGCCTAAAGAAACCAGGATTAGTATCTTAAAAATAAGCCCACTAATTATTTCCCTACAATCAATATATTATTCAACACATGCAGTGCATAAGTGCCTGAAGTATTTAATGCAATTATGATAGCACAAATAAAAAAGCTATACTGTACCAAGTCAGCATGCCATCTGCACATGCTAATTTTGCTCTCATGCTAATCTTACAGACTTAGCAGTGTTTTGTTATTTAAAACTAAGGGCATTACACCAACATTTAAGCATTTATACCAAACTGAATCCATGCCATATATTGTTCCAGAAGCTCCAGCTCATTTATACATATAATCACCAATCGCTAATAAAGCAAAACTAACAGTACATACTGTCAAGTGTGTAGCTTTTTCCTGGTTGTGGAAGGAACTTTCAACTTTAGATTCTGCAATGGTAAAGGAATTATCTTCTGTAGCCATTAACATCCCCCAGTGACTTGCAGATTAAGAATTTTAACCAGCTGGTATTTAGATTAATTAACAATACAGCCCCAAAAGAACAATATCCCATTGTGTGTAGCACCCCCCCAAAAAAAGAAAAAGGAAAGATAAAAAGCCAATAGCAAAATCAATGCTACTGAATGGCTGTTTTTATAGGTTTATACCTCTGTTGATGCTAATGAGAACAGATTTCAAGTATTATATTCGAGTATCAATACAGTGGTCAAGATGGTAAAAGTTTGACAGCAACAACCATAAGAAGAATGGTCCTAAGGTTTCCTAAGAGTAACACAGCTTGGTTGGCTAGAATATCCTCATTATCTGGTGAAATGTCTTTTTGGAAATTGCTCCATAGCACACCAAAGATGTACGATAGCAATTTAACCTTCAGCAACAAAGTGATCACTAAAAATGAACCAATAACCTAAAAAACCCCAAAGTCCAAGAAAATAAATAAATTTTTCCAGATTTACTGAGATAGGTGTAGAGTCCCCAAGGAATGATACATAAGCAGCTATGGATCTCATCATACCCACTCATCACTTTTCCAATTTTTTTTCTTACCCTTCCTTCTCACATCGTCTCCTCTCACTTGTGTGTGACACACAGGTGTGCATACTCATAGACGTGTATTCTCTCTCATCAAATTTAAAAAACTCCTTTCAGTTCATTTAGTTCATACCATAGAAAAGTTTTATAATAGAATGTTTGATTTATTCATTGGCTTATATACAATACCTGGAATCATCTGTCACTTCTTCAATAAAGCCTGATTCACATCTAGGACATATATATTCCTATAAAAGAGTAAATAAAAGTTTTGCATTAGAAAGACAAGTATATAGTTTTAGAATAACACACAGTACATAAGTTGATGGTATGTGATATTTTATGTATTTGCTGATTCCCAGGATTTTTAAAATTACATTCTGGCAAATAAAGAATACTCTAAGATACCTGAAGAATGGCTTTCATAACTAATTAAGTGGTTCCCCAGGAGATGAAAGTGTCAAAGATTTATTTCACTGTTTTTTGTTTTGTTTTTTAATTTGGTTTGGCTTATTTTTTGTTTTGGTTTGGTTTGTACTTTTAGTGGCAGTGTAAGGATGTTTGATGGGGGTTTTTGTTTTGTTTTTTTCTTTGACTTTTTGACACAGAGTCTGGCCTTGAACTCACTTTGTCGCCCAGGCTGGTCTTGAAATCACAACAATCCTCTTGCTGCCGCATCCTGAGTGCTGGGATTACAGGAGTGTGCCACTACACCTGGCTTGTTTGGTATATTTTTTAACTGCAATGAATGTGTCATTTAATTTTCTCTTCAAATCTAATGTAAAAACTCTACTACATTAAAGCAGTAAAAGATATTAATACTGATTGATACACAAACTGCTATTTTTTACTATGTGCACACAGGAGACAATCACAGCACAAATCAATTTATAGACTAGGATCTTTAAATATTTCTAATCTATTTTCTGATTACCAAAGGTTCCAAACACAACTCAACATTCTTAGCTATTTCATAGAAACGATAATTCAAACAACAAAAACAATTTCATTAACTCAATTTCTACTTTCTTCAGTAATAAAGCATTCTCTTAAATAATATAATATCAAGCTGTGGGGCATGGCAGTGTATACTGGTAATCCCAACACTTGGAGGAGAGTGAGACAGGAGAATCACCACAAGTTCTAGGCTAGCCTGGGTCATACAATTAGTTCAAGTCCAGTCTGAAATACATAGTGAAACTCTGTTTCAGAAAACCAAAAATAATAATAATAATAGTAATAATATCAAGTTTTGAGGCTAAAAAAGAATATACTTTCGAACGCCTTATCAAACTTTTAGAAAAAATATTTTAACTACGTATTAAAATAGATCTGGGAAAGGCATTTTCAATTATTTCCTTGTTCCCTATAGTACTTTCTAATCCCTAAAGCTTTGTTTTACCTGATGATCATGCAGCTGTATTTGACGCCTCAAATAAAAATGGATTGGTAACTCAAACATCCAAATGTTTTCTTAAAAGGGATTATTATTAAAGAAAGGGATTGTTATGAAAAGAGAAATTATTAAAGAAAGTAAGATCAATTCTTCATGTCAAAATTTGTCAGTCAATGAAAAGAGAAATTATGTATTTAGGATGAGAATGATAGGCGACAGACAGTAGACATTGAGACTGGAAGGGAGTAGTACACATATGTGCTACCAAAGCAAGCTCAGGAATGGAGTAGGATGAATGTGGATATCCAAAACAGATACAGATATGAGACCAGATTGTGGAAAATTTCTAATCACCATGAACTCTAATCCTGTGCATAGGAAGTTTAAGCTTTAATCTCTACTACAGACAGCAAGGGTAAGATCCATGATGGGCATACTATAACTACTCTAGAAATAAACTGGAAACCGTATTGGTGCCTGAATCTTTCCCTCTACTCCTTCATCCTTCAGGTAGTTTCAACCCTATTGCTTTCTCACTCATTAAAAAAATGTATACATGTGGGAGTAATAAAACCCAAAATGTGTAATTGTCATTGTACAAAAGAAAGGAAAAGAAAGTGCTCTAAAGAATATAACTGCACATATATTTAAGTGTAAAAGGTAGATAACCATATTACTGAGATTTGTTAGATCATTGAATAAAACTGTTTCCAGTCTCACTCTTTGAAAATCCACTTTATATGCTTTAATTTTGTAACTTGAACAACTATTTCTAAGATAATATGTAATCTATTAACTAGTGATTCCTATTGTTTATTTTTTCTGAAATTATGTATAAATTGTATAATGATTGAATAATGTATAAATTGTACCCTATTTCTGGTTTGTTTTCTTTTTCTCCTTTAAAAAAAAGTATACAAATTCAAGTGAGATTGATTTTAGAAAACTACCCTTACATCTATTTCAATGTCTAAAATCAAAAACCAAACCTAGTGGGGTAGTACACACATGTAAAACCAGCACAGAGTAGGTCCTAAAGCAGAGGATCGTAAATTTAGGGACAGCTTAAGCTACTCTGTCTCCGAAAAAAACCCCAAAGCTTCACAAACAACAAAACAACCCCACAAAAAAAAACCCAAAAACCTTAAATTTTTTTTAAAACCTCACAAAGTATAATTCACCATAATACAGTGCTTGGCCCTCTTCTCTTTCCCTCTCACACCATCCCTGCCACTGTGTGTGTGCGGCATGGGGGTGGGTGGGGAGTGGGGGGAGGAGCTGGGGATCGAACTCATGACCTCACACTTGCCAGGTATGCCTGCTGAGCTAAATCCCTGGCTCCCATCCCTGCCACTTTAAACCCAAGCTTAGGGCCTGGGATTTAGCTCAGTGGCTTAAGCGCCTGCCTGGTGAGCACACAGTTGTGAGTTTGATCCCCAGTACCACAAAACAGAACAACAACAACAAAAAAAAAACCGCAGGCTTATTCAGATGGTATCTATTTAAAAAAGAATTAAAGTTTTGTGACATTAGGGAATTACGCAATTCTATTAGCATTTTTTTTTCAAAACAAATGTGTATTTTGAGTCTGTCACATATGAATAATTCCTGCAATATTTCAAACTTTTTCATCATTACTATGTCTGTTACAGTGATTTTTATTTTATAATTTTTCTTTTGAGCCAGTGTCTCACTGTATAGCCCAGGCTAACCTTAAATTTCTGGCAATTCTCCTGCCTCAAGCTCCAGAGTGCTAGAATTACAGATGAGTGAAGGGATTGCAGGTATACACCACCATACCCAGCTATTATGGCGATCTTTGATGTTATTATTGTAGCTGTTTCACAGTGCCATGTGCTACAAATATGTAAAACAACAAACTTCAGTGTGTATTCTGACTGTTCCACTGACCAACCATTCCCCTACCTTTCTCTTCCACTTCTCTGGCTTCCCCGTTCCCTAACATATAATATTGAAATTATGCCAATGAATAACCCTACAATATCCTCTAAGTGGTCAAATGACATGTCCTCTCACTTTAAATAAAAACTGGAAATGCTTAAGCTTGATGAAGAAGACATGTAGAAAGCTTAAAACCCGACAAAAGCTCTGTCAACTTGGGAATACAAAGGGAAAAAGTTCCTATAGAAAATTAAAAGCATTCCTCTAAAAAACATATGAATGATGAGAAAGTGAACAGTCTATACCACTGGTAAGGAGACAGTTAGTAGCCTGGATATCTCCTTAAATCAAAACCTAACCCAGAACAAGGACCTGACTTGCTTCAGTTCTCTAAAGACTGAGACAAGTGAGGAAGTCTGAAGTCAGCAGAGGCTGGTTCATGAAGTTTAATGAAAGAAACCATTTCTGTAACAGGAAAGTACAAGGTGACATAGTTTCTCTATGCTGACAGAATATTCTGAAACACCAAGCTACAATAATCGATAAAAGTGGGAGAAACCTATGAGATTTATAGAGGCAGAAAGTATCATCATCTAGGACCTCCATAGTTGGAGAGGAAAAGTCAATGCCTGGCATCAAAGCTTATATTGTCTCTTGTTAGAGGCTAATGTAGCTGATACTTAAATTGAAGTCAATGCTCATTTACCATTCTAAAAATCTAGGGCCCTTAAAAATTATACCGGCCTGGCAAGACACTTGTAATCCCAGCACTCAGGAGACTGGGGCAAGAGGATTGCTGCAAGTTTGAGGCTAGCCTATACCACATAAAAATAGTTCCTGTCACAAAAAAAAAAAAAAAAAAAAAAAAAAAAAAAAAAAAGTTATGCAAAATCTACTCTGCTTGCATTCTATAAAGGAAAAACAAAGATGACAGTATATCTTTTTGTAACATAGTTTTTTAAACCCACTGTTGTAACATAGTATTTTAAACCCACTGTTGAGAGCTACTGCTCAGAAAAAAAGACTCCTCCAAAATATTTTTTTTTAATTTTTATTTAAAGAGAAAAGAAAAGAAAGAAAAAAAAACAGTGAAGGGGTACAAGTTATACAGATTTACAGAAGAAAAAAATGCGCAGTAGGAAATCACTAGTTAATGGATTACATATTGCCATCTTAGAAATAATTGTTCCAGTCACAAAATTAAAGCTTGTAGAGTGGACATTCCAACAATGATACTGCAAACAGTTCTGTCCAATGATCCAATAAAACTCTGTGATATCATTTTCTATCTTATACATTTAAATATACATGCAGTTATATAGTTTAGAGCACTTTCTTTTCCTCTCTTTTGTACAGTGACTATTACACATTTTGGGTTTCATTGCTCCCACGGTTCTTATTGCTTTTTTGGAAGAGAGTAAAACCAAATGTGACATAACAGAACAGAATCGGTCAAGTCAAAAGGGTGGACATAATAGATAATATAAAAACATAATACAAGGTGATCAACAATGGTTACCATAATGCCTCCCGCTATTTCTAATAGAATTGCCTATATCATTAGTTGAAATACAATTGAACAAAACCGTAAAGAATAAAACCGACAAAACCAAAACATTGGAGATATTGTAGGTCTTCAAAAGTAGATAAAAGTCAACGAGAATGGGCGTTATAATGAATCTCATGTTGACAATGTACCTGGTCACTCAAGAGTTCTGACACAAAGCCGGGAATGGTAGCACATGCCTGTAATCCCAGCACTAGAGAGGCTGAGACAGGAGGATCCTTGCAAATTCGAGACCGGCCTGGGCAACAAAGTGAGCTCAAGGCCAGCCTGAACTGCATAGCAAGATCATGTTTCAAAAAACCAAAACAAACGAACACCTTCTAGAAAGGACTCATAGTTCCACATGCTATTAAGAACATTTGCGCAATGTGCAATGTATATAC